TTATCTAATGTACGACTGGATCATGCGCTCCAACATTGTCAACCTCTGGAGTCGTATCTGGCAAGATTTGATCAGTCATTCCTTGTTCGGCTTCTTCGCAGAGCTCGGCCGCAAGGAGGACGATTGCGCAGACGCACTTCGCAGCGGTTGGAAAACATTATAGAGTATCCTTATAGACCAGACTCGTTCCAGCTATGGCCAGCTGCAGGTTCCAGCTGTATGACCCGATCATCTCCACCCGCTAGGCACGACTTCAACTGCAATATACCCCTGAGCCGCCTCATGCTTTCATCTTATTTTACTCCATGATGCCTGCTTCCCTCTCAACATAAGGGATCAAGATTGAGGCTGTCGCTATGCGATCGACTGTGCAGCTGTCAAGCTCGGACATTTCCGCACGTGCTCATCGCGCCAGGCTCACAACACTAGCAGGATGTTCAAGGAAGAATTCGGTTCGGGTTACCCAAAGCGATCCTGGCACCAAAGTTACTGCCGCATTTCAGCTTAACTACCACGAAAAGTGCGAGGATGCGATCAGGTTTGAATCTTGCCCAGGCTGCGTGAAAGTTGAAAGGGAGTGAGTCATGAAGAAATATAGGCCAAGTGTCAACCGGGTTCACTATCCTTTCAAGCAGAGTCGCCAAGAATGCATGTAACGTCGAAGCAGCAATCGCGCTGCTTAGCCTCCATCAAGTCGCATCGCGGGCGCCGGCTTGGATGACTTTTAATGTTATCCTACAGGCGTTTCCTCAGTGTCCTTAGCCTAACGCATCCATTGGCATTGGTCGTACCAAGACTGAAGACTGAATTTGGACCTACTGCAGCCAAACTAAAACCGCCTAAGAGATGTCGAGGTCCCCGTCTCCGCCCTCTGGCAGCTGCGTGACGCAGACGAGCGCGCCGTCGACCCTGGTTTGTGCATCCCTCCATGCCCGCTGGTGCTCACCCTTGTCCTCGACGTTGTGCACGTATTTGACATGTTCTTCATCAAATTCAAGCGTGTCCAAAGAGTCGGTATTGCCAATCAAGATGCCTGCCTGGTTCCTTGCCGGCGCCGTCAATATGGTCAGCACAGAGAGAGTCGCACCCCCCATGAGCATATTGTGGCGCACCAATCCTTGCCGTTGCTCAAGGGCCAAGCTTGGAGGCGCCGGTAGCGTGTAGACGCAGCAGGTTGCTGCCGATCTTAGGTCGATGACGAGCTCCAGACATTGCTTGATGCGACTGTCGCTAACGCGTAGTGTGGGACCGACGTCAGCCTTGAGAGCTGCCGTATCAGATGGCTGAATGCAATTCTGGACCTGAATTGCTACATAAGATAGCCGATCCTTGTCAAACATTTCGTCTCCCATTCGTCAGTCTCGTAGACGGGAATCAAGAAGTCCCATTTAGACTGGTTGCTGATGCCCTGCGCCATGGCACGCCTGTACCAGAGCTCCAGCAGCACTTTGTGTCCGTTCGTTTGGGGCCCATGGGCTATCTGGTTGGGAAGCTTTACAACGTGCTTAAAATTGAGCCATGCTCGGCTTGTCCAGCCGGTCATTTCGGCTGAAATGCCATCATGCAATGGTTTGTCGGTGTGCTAACGTCTTCGAGAGCTGGCGAGAAGGTCACCCATCAACACGTGTGCAGCCACTCGCGCACCGTGACCAGGCCAGATACTGCATTGTACTTGCTCTGTTGCTGCATAAATGGGCTTCCATTCACGCTCTGGCACAGAGCAAAGCGATACCGATTCTGCTCAAGCCAACGAGTTGAGGCCGCGCTAACTCTTTCAGAGCCATCACCGACATTTACCCCGCACAGCATCTTCGGCATGCACCATCGGATGGTACCATCCGAACCATTGTTACCAGTAAATTGGGACGTGAAAGGAAACCTTCCACATCATCACTCTTCTCTTTTCACGAGTCCGGACCCTGCATAAAACATGTCTTCTCTCCACTTTTTTTTTCCCTCAGGTTTTTCTGTCCTCTTCTACTGATGCTGAGCAAGCTAGTCAGGATTACGCTAAGCGAAGCGAAGCAGTCGCCTCTGTTGAAAGTGGCACGCTCTTGAGGTCATGCGCTATTGGGCCAAGAAGAAGGTGGCCTCTCGCTCTCTTGGCCGAGCCGGGGCGTGAATGTACTGTACTGTAAAGTACTGTACTGTCCTGAGCTAGGACCCTTTGTGGTACGTTTGTCTTCCCCCTTCATGCGCTCTTCGATAGATCCTCAGCTTCGGCTTGCCTCCCGAACTGTATCATCCTTCCTGCCCGAAGCTTGACCGTTGCTTCGTTTTGCCTAGACTCGTGGCTCGAACCCTCCTTTGCTCTTCCTGTCACGCTCAGTTGCAAGGTCTCTGTGACCGTCGGCAATCGGTCTCATTCGTAGCCGGCTTCTGTGATCACAGTACCTCGCTGTGATGCCATGTAGGCCAGTCCTCATCCATCAAGCATCCAACACCGCTCTCAGTCGGCAGAGCGTCGATAGACATTCCACGTCATCCATATGGGCTGCATCTGATCACAGGGTGCACTAGCCAGCGATCGGCCAACATTAAAAGGACGCTTCCACCAACGCCACTCTGGTCCTTCAGCTCATCTGATCCAGATAACATATCCACTTCCAAATTTTCCACAGCCTTACCAAGATCGCAAGAACACACTTTTTCCCCTGCCATGCTCGGTATCTCCCTCTCTCAGCTTGAAGGCGATGTGCTTGCACAGCTGTGCACGCCTACCTTCGCTTGGACTGCGATCTTTGCTCTGCTCCTTTTGTTGGTCCCCGCTGCTAGACACATGGCTGTCGAGGTCGTCTGCCAGATTTACGTAACGCTCGTCCATCGACCATACCGCTCTTCGCCTACTGACTACCTCTTCTCGAAAGCGGAAGCACCGTTGCCGCTCACCAACTCAATTTGGTCCCGCATTCAAGCTTCCACCACTCTCAAGTGGCGCGCCCAACGTGCAGGGCTTAGGCATGAAAAGCAGGTCAACTGGAATTTGCCCAACGCTGTCAAGGATGGCGACATGATTGAGGCCTGGGATCGTATTGCCGAATGGGATCAACAGTGTCTGCACCCCCACAAGCTCGAACAGCTCCGTCGTTATGGTGATCCCACTGCCGACAATGCTCTCGAGTACCTCGACTCGCTCCGCGCACCCGATAAGCAAGCCTCCACTGATACTTTGCAAAAGATCTTTGACCAAGCATCAACCAAGAACACGTCCAAAGGCGACCGGGCAACCTGTCATTTTTGGAACGCCATCGACCGCAGACCTCCGCCTGGTGCCGGCGCCCTGGGACTCGATTGGTATCAGTCGCGCTACGGTTCTCGAGCGGTCAACAGTCTGGAGCAATGGCCTCGGTACTCTTCCACGAGCCAAGAGGAGCCATCACGCACCCTTCCCATCTGGTCTCCAAGTGGATATAGTCCGATAGACGCACAGGACGAGCTTGAAGAGCTTGAAGCCGAGGCCGAGGTACTACGACACGGCCAGGATGTCTTTTACCGCTACGCCGGTCCCATGCTGACCGTTCTGCTCCACTTCAGCCTTGCTGGTGGCTTCGCATCGCCAAGAATTACTGAGGTCCTCAAGCAGACTGCCTATCTCGTCCCCTCTGCTGCCGGTCGGGGCAAGGATCCCAAATCATCTGAATCTTCCGCGCTGCCTACTATTGAAGATCTCAAGAACATGTTCAACGTCGACAAACCTCGAGCTGACCGTACTTGGAATCGTCTCCTTGAGACCACGCAATTCGTTTTAGACGTCGTAGAGAATGCTGGCAGTCTCCACCCTCCGAGCTTCAATGTCACGCCGTTTGCATCACCCACTTCAGCCTCCACCACCCAGAAAGCTGGATACGCGCCGCCGGCGCCTCCAGAGAACGGCGGCCAAGGCTGGCAGTCTGCCGTTCGTGTTCGGCTCCTGCATGCCAACGTACGACGCCGCGTCCTTAAGCTGGCTCAGAGGCAAAGCAACGACACTTTGGGTCCAAACAAGATGGTCTATGATCTCGAAAAGAATGGCGTCCCCATCAACCAGGAGGACATGCTCGGAACCCTGTGTGCATTCTCCTCCGCTCCTCTTGCTATGCTGCAGAGGATTGGCATCACTCCTACCGCGCAGGAACGCAAGGACTACATCGCGCTTTGGAGGCACGTCGGCTTCTACATGGGCATTGAGCCTGCCCTTCTGCGCCGGGCATTTTGTGATCCCCAGGCAGCCGATCGCACGCTGTGGTGCACCATCCTCCACCTATTCAACAAGGTCGAGATCCTCGACGGCCAGCAAGAGGATGGGAAGGGTGCCGTGGGGCCTAGGATGCAAGGCCCCACCATTCCGGTGCTCATTGCTTGTGCCGACCGCCCGCCGTTCCACACGCCGCTGTCCGCACACGTAGCTATCTCTCGCCGTCTCCTTGGAAAGTCGTTGGCAGATTCGCTCGCACTGCCCGCTTCTTCGGCCAAGCGCGAGGTCCTCACCGACATTGCTTTCCTCGGAATGCAGATTCCTATTCTTTTTGGCGCCATCTATCCACGCTCTGGCTGGGAGAAGCGCAAACTCGAACTTGCCCGACCTCTGCTGCGTCGTCTGATCGTATTTAGCTTTGGCAACAAACGGACAAAGTTCGAAATGCCCTCGCACTCGCCTTCGCTAGCTAACTCGGAGGCACGTAATGGAGAGAGGGTGAATGTCGAGACTCAATCGAACTCCCACATTGAGGTGCCCGAGGACAAAGAGCAAAACATACAGCTTGTTCGTCAATGGCGCTGGCTGATGCGAGAGATGTTTGCCATCTTCTTCTTGATCGGCTCGATTGCCGTGGCTCTCATTGCCGCCGCTTATGCTTACGTTCCACACCACCTTGGCTTCCGCATGTAGATGATTTGAATTACAAGAGCTGCTGTACATCCTTATATCGCGTTTGTCAAGATTTTGTTCACTCGATCAGCGCCAAAGAAAGATGAAAGCTGTAGTAATATATATACTTATTATCAGCTCACAAACATCAATTGGCCGGTTGGCCCAATGGTAAGGCGTCTGACTACGATTCAAGCATCCATCACGGCTTGTAGTTAATCAGGAGATTCTGGGTTCGAGCCCCAGGCTGGTCATCCTTCATGTGCCTTTTTTTGCCTTTTTTTTCGGACAGCATGCTTCGACTAACAGAAACATCTCAAATGGTCAAAGACAGCACACATCAATCTGCTATGCCCTTGCGAATGAACGAGACGCTTTCCCGCTCGTTATCACCATAATGCAAACTCGCGAACGACTGAGTCCCTGGCGTTCAAGATGGAAAAAAAGCGCTACCAAGCAACAGACGAAAGCACTCGGATCGGACAAAGCGATATTATCTACTTGCCCGCTAGGCAGACGGGAGTCCAGGCTGGCATGCCAATGCTGACGTGAAGGTGATTGTGTAATAAGGAGCAAAGCGAACTCCGCTGCTCAGACGGACATCATACGGAGCGTTGGCTACAAGTCGGTGGCCCGGGTCGATGTAAGATGCCACCGATAGCTGAGACTGGAATGCCGAAGCAGCCTGACGGGGAAATGAGCACAAAGCAGCATGTGGCATGTTTGTGTTGGACTAGTGGACAGCTCGCCAGCGGTGCTCGCTAAAGAAGACCATCCAAGGGTGTCGTTGTATGGAGAGCTGTCGGGGATTGATGTTGCAGTAACCGCAATCCGAACATTTTCTCGTGCTCTCTCTGGTGGTCAAAAGATCAGAGACAGTCGGCTGTCGGGACTTTGGCCAGTTCTTTCCCAATTTTGATGTCCTTCGAAAGTGGGAACCTTGTTTTTTCTTTTTGTAGCGCAAGAAAATGTACAGGCAAAATTTCAAAAATTCCAGAATAATATATTTTTCTTCCAGGACTCCCCGGCCAAAATGCCTGCCAAACTTCAACTTCTTGTGTCATTTTGGTCGGGTCCGCCCGTAAAGAACAGAGATCGCATTTGCTAGACGAGGGGTTCGCGATCGGGACAAAATCACCACAGTTTTGCAGATGTCTGCTATCGAGAGCACACAACCGGACAGAATAGGGCCTTGGAGCCAATCCAGGTTGGCTTGAAGAGCCTTATGCCATGGAATTGTTCCGAGATTTCCTGCAGGGGGTAACCAAAGCTCGCAGCAAGGTTGAGCACAATGCCATCATCGAGCAAAGACAGTTGGACCGATGGCGAGGACAAACACCAAATTTTGAGTCCAGCAGATTGCAAAAATATGCAAAGCGCACGCGCTGCCAAAGTTTGATTTTTCATGCCGACCTCGATTTTGCTTCCTACCTTTGCCATGTTCCATTGCGCTGGGACCCGAGATACTGTAGAGGCGTTTTGTAATTCCTGTTTGCTTCTTTGCCTTTTTCTCTTCCCCCCTCCTGAGAAAAAGCAGCATCCTGTTTTTTTCGGCGCTCATAAGAAGCCGCATTCGCAGAAGAACGGCAAAATTGGCCTAGGCCCAACCTTGGACCAATCGCAGGATTGCATGTTGCATCCTCTGCACTCGGGTATGATCTATCTTCTTTGTTTGTTTTTGGGCCAGTACCACAATCAGAAGCCTCCGCGGACTTAAAATGGAGCTATTGCTGCCTTTGTTTGACGTTGTGACGAACAATGAGAGGAACTCCTTGATTAACTAGTCAGATCTAGTCTGAGACACTGCATTGTTTGTGGATCGCAATTAGAAGCTGCACCACCATCTCATTAAAGAGAAGCACATGTGGAAGCAGTCAAAGCCACATCAAGACAAAAGCAAATGGTGACCGGCCTCGACCGGCATTTTGGGCAAAAGAACGCAACGCTTCATATGGTGTAGGGTTTTTTTTTTCTTCCCCTAAATCTTATTTCAAAGAAGCCTTCTTGTTGACCAAAGGGGTTGTGCCACCCCGCCTTCCCACTAAATTGGTGTTGCTCTCGAGGCGAGGGTCGGCGGTTGAACCTTGTGCATCGATTTCGGTGTGTGCTGGGAATCTGGTTTTGCGTCTGCTTCTCTCGCGAGGCGCTCCTTGAACCGATCAAGCTGGCACATCCGCTGAGCCGCATTCTTTTTCCTCCTTTCTCTCGGTCGCTTTTTTTTTTCTCTTTTTTTTTTTTTTTTTTTTTTTTTTTTTTTGGGCTCTTTCAGCATTCTCTCCCGTCAGTCGCATTGCTTCCCAAGTGCTTTTTTCGGGTCCGTCCGCAATCACAACTTGCATCAAAGCTGCATTCTGACCTTCCTTCCGTTCATAACCCAACGTCTGAGACGTGTGCGTGCTCAGATGCTGTCAAATTTCCAGTCCTTTCGCTTTTCGTCGTCCGCACACCCGTCCCTATCCTTTCCTTGCAGTGGCACTGACTTGCATTGCTGCACGGTGATTCTCGTTTTGGCAACAGCCCACTGAATGGCAGCCGGTTCACCAGCTTGGCACCGTTGAACCACGCATGTCTTTGCTCGACGCATACTAACTGGCTGATTGCGTTGCTGGTCTGTCTCGACACTGGCTGCCATAGACCAAAAGGGGGGGGGGGGGGGGGGGGGGGGCGTTCCATTGCCTTGGGTAAAAAAAAATTCGGCAAGTCAGGCCCTTTCCTTTTTGGGTCTCTGTCTCTGGCTCTGTGCCTTACCGTCTGCGTTTAACTGCATGCAACACTGCATCGGGATCGACCAACTTTCTGTCTTTGACCGTGAATCCCGTCGACTCTCACCTTTCCTTCCCTCTTTTCCTCTCTCTCTCTCTATCTTTCTGTGTGTTTGTCAGTCTTTCGTCACATCAGTGATTGTTTCGCCCCCGACTTTCTTTACGCCAGCACCTCATGAGCGGTACAGGACATTGGGTCAACGCTTTACATCAAGTGGCACGAGCAGCGTCTGCGCGGCAGATACAGTACAGTTGCCACTTGTAGCTTCGGCGCCCACCCAACCCAGGCCAAGACCTGCTTTCGAGCCAGCGGACTTTCGGAGAGACAGTCGCTCCGTGACCAGGGCTCTTGTGCCTTGCGACTCTGTTCTCATTCTCCTCTGCAGATCCCTCGGTTGCTCTCAGCGTCTACGCCCTCTCGTCCCTTAGCTTCCAGAGCATTGTGGACGGCTGCATGGGTGCGTGATTGGGCTCTCGACCATTGTCCGCTCCCAACGCCGCATGTTCAAGAGGCGTGGATCTCATGTTTGCTGCCCTTGCTCGAATCGGTTCTTCCGGAAGCTTAACCTTGCTCTGACTGCTGCTGCTCATCTCTCTCTCTCTCTCCTACCAAACAAGCTCTGAGAGTCACATCATTTGACTCGATTGGTCTCATTGACGCTTCAGCCAGGTTACACTGCCATTGCTCGCTCCCGACTCGACATCAGTGATTGCCCACTCCTTGCCTGACCCAATTCTATCTGCACTACTACGACCCTGACGCCTCACGCCTGGCACCAGGCAGATCCGACTTCCCTCAAACTTTGCCGTCACCTTCGACGACCACCGCTGCCAAGCGCACACACGTCTACTCAACTCAAGTCCCTTCTCTCGACATCTGAACAGACGTCTATAAGGAGCATCGTCAACAGCTGGTCATTCGCCGTATCGCATCTTCAGCCTTGCGCTCAGGGACCTTGCTGCTTACATTGCTGGGTGTTGGACACCTGACGCACAGTATCGGGGTCCGGCACCTAGCTTCCGAGCCTGCCAAAGGAAATCGAGGCGTCGGCCGCATCTCTCTGTTACCGGAGTCATTGGTCGGAGTTGTCTCAGCAGTTACTTGCCACCGTCACGAAGCAACAGCTCGATATTGCGCCGTTTTCCCTTGATAATCTGGACCTGAGGATGGGCAGAGATCGACCATCTATTTGCGCCATCACTTCACTTTTCAACCTCACGGGATCGACCTCGCCTTGCCCTCATCTTCGGAACCTTGCGATTGCCCAAGACACTTGAATTCCGTCCATCCTCGGTTTCAAAACTTGACTCCTCGTCACGATTCAATTTCGGGACAGACTGCAGACGCACGTAAGAATCGCTTCGGCATCTCCGTGCTGAGTCGCCCCTGTTTGATGAAGGCTGTTCTTCCCCTCGAGATCGTGGATCTCATCCTCTCACTGTCGCTCCAGCAAGATGGCGCCGCCGATAATGGCACGGATAGTCCAAGGCGAGCCTTACAGAGATTCGCGACAGCCTCATCTCCGTCGGTGATGACAGCGCAGTCAGCAGAGCAGCCAATCAATGTCCAACAAGCCGTCATCATCAGTGCTATATCTCGGCACCATCGATCACAATTTCAGATCGAGCTTTATCGGCATGTCACCCTTTCGACTGTCCAAGTCATTGCCCTGTTTGGTCGCACCATCGCCAGCCGGCCAGACTTAGGCACACACGTGCGCTCCCTTGTTGTCCTTTGCGACGCAGCAGAGCGTCACCGTTCCGCTGGCGCTGCGGCGGCCAGCTACCGTGCGCCTGCTGATGCCATCCTAGCAGCGTGTCCCAATGCCACCCACTTGCTCCTGTCTTGCAACCAATTCGACCGTCTTTCAGCGGGTGTCTATAATCTGCGTCGGCCCAAAGAGGTTACCTTGGTCAACGTTACCGAAGCACAACATCTCGATGGCATCGTCACGCGACACCGCGACCTCACCGCCGCTGCTCTGCAAAACGACCCTCGCATCCAAGCCATTCTAGGCGCTTCTACCGCCGCAGCAACGCCAAGCCAACGCGCACCTCTGCTTGCAGATCTGCCCTCTTCGTCAGACGCCCAAGGTTCAAGACTAGAAGGATCGGCGCCAGCGCCGGTGCCAGTGTCTCAAGCCGAGCGCTCGCTGTCTCATCTTCACCTCGTCAACTTTGACGGACGACTGCTGCACCATTTGGCCACCGTATCATCGTTGACTCATCTCGTCTTAACCAATCCGTTGGTTCCAGAAACGCGACCTGGCGTTCCAGGTCTATCCGTCATCCCACGATCGCATCTTATGTTGCTACTCGGATCTGGCAACATTGCCCGAATCATCATTCGTGCCGACCTTGCCACGTGCGTTCGCGTGATGGAGGAGCTGGAACCGGTTGAGGATCGTAAGCTTGTCTTCCGGCCCATCCGCGGATCCGACGATTTGCTCTCTCCCGATCAGGCTCGGCGTGCACGAACGATGGCAAGGCTT